CTTGAGTTTCGCCTCCCAGCACTCCGTGCTGGCGTGCAGTTCCTGCCAAGGGGACTTCTGGACCGGCCAGATGGATTTGGTGTCTGACGTTGGAGGCGAGAGCGGTTTCGCCTGCGGGATGTTCCTGATGCTTCCTGGCTGGGGGTGCGGCTCCCAGCACTTGGTGCTCTCACATAGTTTCTGTCACGGCGACTTCTGGACCGGCCAGATGGATTTGGGAACTGTTGCCGTTGGCGGGAGCGACTTTGTGTGTTGGATGTTCTCGATGCTTGATGGCTGCGGCTGCTCCTCCCAGCACTCGGTGCTCTCACGTGGCTCCTGTCACGGCGGCTTCTGGACCGGCCAGATGGATTTGGAGTCTGACGTTGCAGGCGGGAGCAGTTTCGCCTGCAGGATGTCCCTGATGGTCTCAGCCTGGTCCTGCGCCTCCCAGGACTTGGTGCTGGTACGTGGCTCCTGTCCTGGGGACTTCTGGACCGAAGGCGTGGATTTTGGGCCCAATGTTGCCGGCGGGTGCGGTTTTGCCGGCGGTCAGGCCCCCGACTGCTGGAGTAGCTGCTGTCATCAGTTTCTGTGAAGCTGCTCTGGGATGACCCCGATGTTACCTGACTGTCAGGGCTGGAGCTGCTCGTCTCCTGTGAGGAAGATTCCAGAGACTGCTCCGATGTTGCCTGGCGGTTGGTACGGTGGTGTCTGTTCTGTGGTGCTGAAGTTCCGGGAGATGGCACAGGAACACTGGTGCTGGGGCTGATGGTCTCCAGTGGTGCAGAACTAGGAGACAGCCCTGATAGCACCAGGCTGCCTGTGTTGGGGCTGATGGTCTCGGCTTCTCTGGAGCCGTCGGAAGGCTCCAGTCCAGACTGTCTGGCCACGCTGACAGCAGCAAGCTCCGACTCATCTCGGGGAGCTGTGAGGGGAAGCAGGAATGTCAAGGTCACCCCAGACCTGGGGCAGGATAGGGCAGAGCAGTACCGCCAGCCCTCCTGGAGCAGACAGGCTCCACCAAACCCTCCCTGAGCACCCACTGCCATGCCCAGGGGCACCAGGCCCAGGGTCAGCAGGGTGCTTTGCCTCTTACCTGTGCCCAGGCCAGCACAGCCATCACATTCCCAGCTGGTTATACTGTGCCTCAGGCCAGAGCAGTACCTGTGGGTGCCCTCGGCAGCACAGGAGGAGCACAGAAGCAGTTCCCAGGGCCTGGGGAAGCAAATGGGTTCATGGGGGTGAGGAGAAAGTGCCCAAAGCATGGGATTATCAGGCTGAGATCTTCTCCTGGGTCCTTCTGCTTCAAGCCCTGCAGAGGCCCAGGATGCAGCTTTGGCAACTTACCCCTCCTCCTCTGCCGCCTGCCTGCCTCTTGGAAAAAGGCACTTAGTGGCATCGCAGCGCCTGTGTCTGTCTCCCAGCTCAGCGAATGCATTAATGCCCTCCCATGATGGTGGTCTGATGGGAAAAGGAAAACTGATGAGCTCCCTCTGCCCTGGCATCAGGCAGGTGCAGGGTGTCCCCGTTCTTCCCCCTGTGCCATTTCCAGCTCCTGTGGGAAGCTGAACCCGGGACTCACAGAACAGGGCAGGGCCTGGACTGCTGGGGCAGGCCCTTGCACAGCACTTGCCACTTGCACCCCCTGTGTTGTGAGCCAGGCAGAAGGACACCAACCTCAAGGGGATTCGGATCCCCATGGTTAACATATCTCTGATAAATGCGTTATCATTTCTGCAGAGGGGGCACTGGATGGAGAAAAAACCAGCATGCATAGCCTGTCCCTGCAGGAGAAACACAAGTAGTGAGAGTGAGGCCCTGGTGCTGCTGAGCCCCTGCTGTGCCCCCTGGGGTGAGGGAACCACTCCTACTTGGATGCAGTCCCTGTGGAACCAGGCGGTTTTGCAGGCTGGGCACACCATGGTATTAAAAGTCTTTCTGTGCTCCACAGGCTCCATGCAGATGAGGCATTCGGTGCCCGGCTCTGGAGTCGCCTCCACTGCCTGTTCTGGGCTGTGTGTGGGGCAGAAGGTCCTGGGGGAAAAAGGGGTGGGTGAGGTGAGAAGTGCTGGGCCCTTCCCTGGTGGTGGCAAGGAAGGGACAGGAGGTACCTGAATGGTCTGTGGAACTGGGTGACACAGCGTCCCTGCTTGGCACAGGGCAGGTGGAAGTTCAGGTCACAGTCTCTTTCACAGCAGGCAATGGTGGCTCCGCTCTCGCCACAGATGCAGCAGCTCTGGAAAGAGCAGAGTAGCCCCATCAGCAGCAGCCTCAGGGCCTCCTCCTTCTCCCAGAGCTGGTTGGAAGGGCTGGGCTTTCTTGCTTGGGGTCTGAGCTAAGCTCCAGCAAACCTCGCCTGGCACAAATCTTCCTGCTCTTGTCAGGCTCTCACCTGCTCTACCGCCTGGGAGACTACAGCTCGGATCTCCCATGCGTGAAGACCCCAGATGTCTGCTCGATGAACCGGGCGTTCAGGAAAGTTGCTGGCAAAATACTGCAGGAAAATGACACTCACTGATGAGGAGACAGTGGCAGGGACTGCCTGGCAAAAAGTGGAGGGAGCCCACATAGCAACTCACCAGGCAGAACACGTGGGCACAGATCCCATGTTTCTGGATTTTTTCCCCGCAGATGTCCGGGTCAGCCTCTGGTCGCTGACACAGCAGGCATGCTGGAGGGGAGAGAGACAATGGCCCCGGGCATGGCACCTGTACTGCCCGCCCCGACAGCCCCTCTGCCAGGCTGCGGGAGGGGCACTTTGCTCTCACCTTGCTCCCTCCCTTCAAGGGGCTTCTCCTTCCTGTCTGACATGGTGACTGTCAGTAGTGGGTCCCTGTCGTTGGAACACCAAGGTCTCTTCCAGGTGCTCCTCCACTGGTTCTGAGGCAGAAGTGAGACTAGTTTGCAACACAGGGCCAGAGCCCTGAGGCGTAGAGCCCCCTGACTCGCTGGTCAGCCCTGTGTGAGCCCGGTCTCTCTCTGCAGTCTCCTGTCGTCTGGTTGAGGAACACCAAGGTCTCTTCCAGGTGCTCCTCCACTCTCTGTTCAAAAGAATC